CCCCCCCGCCTTCCTGCTCCTGCCCTTTCACCCTGCAGTCTCCTTCCTTTGATGGCCTGCGGGAAGCCTCCCGCTTCACCCTCCTGGCCCTAGTGCACCTCACATAGCTCTTGTGTCTGGTGACTCCTCAAGCTGTCCCCTTTCCCACCACGCTCCCCAGCTTCCTTTCAGCTGCACAGCCCCATCTGGTTCTCATTCAGCCATGTCCACCTAAAGTCTCACGAGCATGGTCAGCCTCAGTGAGCCCCAAATTGGACTCTTCTCTGATCAGCTCCTCTTCTCTGCCCCATCTCAGTGAGCGGCACCCCTCATCAGCGTGTTCCCCTCCCCACTTGACCTTGGCACTTCCAGAGCTCTGGGCACCTTGAGGGCACCGCCATTGTTTCATCACATGGTGTCCCGTGAGTCCAGCACAGGGCAGTGGCCAGCAGGTGCCGTAGAGTCAACACATCTGGCCCTGCAGACCTTCAGGAGCGTGTCCACGCTTTGAGCCGCTCACACATTAACAGACATGAGCAGGGCCCGTGTGAGGGCCGCACGGGGTAGCAGGCAGGGGCATCCTTGTCCCCGACTGCTGTGAGGACGGCCTCAGACTCCAGCCCAGGAACCAGGGACACGTGTTGCACTGGGGGTGCACACGATGGGGTGGGGCGAAATGGGCTGGGGAAGCAGGGCTGGCTCTACCTACCAGGGGGTAGAGGGGAGGAGTGGCTAGGAAGACAACAGCCCCGGACACCTCCATGGGGCCTGTGGCGCCCTGGGAGCGCACAACTCTCACCCTGCCCTTTGGCTTATCTTCCTACAGGAGCTCGAGCTACAGCCTCAACTGAAGCTGGAGGCTGCTGTGAGCTGGACCAGAAGTCAGGGTCTGTCTGCTGGGCCGGAATCTCCCTTCCCTCTCACCCTTTTGCCTCCCTGCTTCACCGTCCGCACACACGTGACCCGGCTTCTCCCTGGGAGATGGAGTCTTCAGAGAGTCTCCTGAAGGGCCTGCCTGACACATTCCTTGCCTGTTGACCACAGGCCTTCTCAGGCCTGGTCGCCTGACTGCTCCGCTCCAGGCCACCTTGGACCTGGAAAGCCTCCCAGGAGTAGCCATTCCGGAAGAAAGGGAGCACCCACCAAGCCCAGCTGCTGGTCTCCCCGTGGGAGTCCCTGGCCAACCACCTGCTGTCCCATCTGACAGGATAGACACTCTTGTTCCTCCTGATGCTGCAGTGGACACCTGAGAGACAGGACAGATGCCATGTGAATGCCTGGCATGGGACCAACGGACATGTGAGGACTACTTAGGGCAGGCAGACAGATGCCCTGAGACCAAGAGACCTGAGAGAGGATGAGGGCAGTGGGGTGAGAAGTCTGAGCCGGGCATCAGAGGCGTTTCTTAAGCTTGTCCCTTTGTTCAGGTAAGTGGAAGACGCTCCGTTTCCAGAAGTGGACACAGACTGATAATAAACCACCAAAAGTTGATTTTTATGAACAGAAGTTATTTTTGTGGAAATAGGTTTTTAATTTTTATAAAAGCCCAGAACCACATTGTAGAGGCTACATCATTGGGACAATTCACTGCAGCTTATTTTTTCAAAAACATATTAAAGGGTTTGTTTTCTAATGAGAAAATGTGATTGTGGACCCTCCCTAACCCCCAAAACACAGAAGGGGAAAGAGTCAGATGTCACTGGGCCTGGCTAACACCCCTCAGCCAAATATGCCCTGTCTGTGCTCTGACCAGAGACGTCCGGTGGGAAGTGGGTTGCTTTCCTTGACTCTGGAGTAGCCCACGGCAGCAGGTTTTGGCCTCTGGCCTCTCGCATGGGTTGGGGCCTAGGGAGGAGTTTAGGAACCAGTAGGGATGAAACGTCACCCCCAGATGCCTAGACACCAAGCGTGAGAGGGAACTGGCAAGGCATGACATGGCCACACACTTCTCCTCACACCTCAGCTGTCCCCTCCATGAGGTCAATTCTCCTGACCCCCTTCTACCTCCTCTTGAGACTTCAGCTGCCTCATAGGTGCCAGACTCACACCCACGTCTGCAAGAGCTCAGGACCACACTCAGATGGGATGTTCTCCCAGAACTTGAGATAAACACTGTAGCTTGAGGAGGAATCTGACCTCAGAGCCAGCGTGCAGGTGATCTGCTCTGACACTCTGGCCCTGGCCACTGGTATGAGCATCTAAGTAACCCTTGAGGTCACAGGGTGCCAGAGAAAGAGAGCTATTATTCCCTTTTCTCCTCAAAGCAGCTCTTTGAGGCAAGCACTTATTTTCAGATGAGGAAACAAGCTTAGGTTAAGCAACTTGCTTGAGGTGAGTTGGTGCAAATGGACTTGAGCCCAAATCCGCCGGACCCAAACTTATAGAGCTGGCCAGTGCTTAAGGCATTCGTTGGGGGTGCGACCAGTCTCTGGACTTGGGTTATCATTGGCATGTTTCCTCTTCTGGCACCAAATACCATCATCCTGCCTCTGACTTATGCTCAACCCACTGCAATTCCCATCACTCCTACTCATCAGCATTCAGACTGACTGACTGGGTCTCCGTACCTCTCCACACCCCTGTTTCAGAGAACTCTCGTTTTGCCCTAGGCCAACCTGGTTAAGAATATTTCCCCTGACCCCTTCTGTCTCCACGACCTTGTCCATTTCCACTTAATCCAGGTCACACCACTCACTTGCTCAAGACCCTTGTGATCTCACCCTAGCACAGCATAACATTAGAATAGTGAAGAACCCCTATAAATCAACAAGAAAAAGACAACCTAATAGAAAACTGGGCAAAAACTAACATATGTGAAGGTGTGAGGTATTTCATGGCCTGGAAGTAAAAATTCGGATCACAATGAAGTAACATTTAAAACCACTGGAGCGTCATAAACTGAGAGGCCTTCATCATTGAGACTAGGAAGGGCGCTGGTATACTGCTGTTGGGGGTGAAAACTGACGGAGCTGTCTTGACAAATAATCTGAACTCACACATACAGTGAAGCAGCAATTTCAGGTAAAAGACCCTAGAGAAACCTTTCAAACACCCGCATCAGAGACAGTTAGAAGCACATGCTGAGTGGTATAGTTGCAAAACTAAAAACCAGGCAAACAGTCCAAATGTACATGGTAGAAAAATGGATAAACTGTGGTTACTCAAAAACAGTGAAAGTACTAGAATATACGCCTAAGTACAAACCTTAGGAAGAATGTGGAAAGAAGCATGTCTCAGAAAACTACATACCATATATATGAAGTTCAAAAGGGAAAATAAACTTACCATTTAGGCCAAAAAGTTAAAGTGGCTACTGTGAAACTCCTTTTTAAAAAGAAAGAATAAAGAGATGATCATTACAACAATCCAGAGATTGTCTCTGGGAGGAGGAGAGGACGGGATCAAGGACAGACATGGGGCTGAAAGGCTCCTGGTGGCATTCTAATGGTAGGGAGTTCAGCTTATCGCTAAGCCACTCTATATTTTATATCAGTTGCATGCATCAAATAATACCCATACAAAATTTAATAAACTTGGGTACAAACTGGGATGTGTAATGTCTTTCCAAATGCAAGATATTCTCAGTATAATATTAAACACTGAAGAGCTTAACTTTCTTCCTGTCTCGAAAGTCAACAAATACCGGACTGCCTTGTGTTGTTCCAATCACTATAATACCACCAAAGTTCAAGGAAAAATCTTTTCAGGGTTGTCATGGAGTCAGATTTGTTGTAGAAAAAGAAAATAATTTGTAGTCTAGACTATCCACCAGAAGAGGATGGAGCCAAATACATACATGCCATCACGACCAGTTCTCTATGCCAGCAATCACAGAGAAAATACTGTCAAATGGGCCGCAAACATTAATGATTTTATTGAAGATACACGCGCAGAATTTTGACCAGGGAAATGTGGTTATAATATATACCTCGGGGCACCTCACTGATCTCACTTCAGAGTCCACCAAGTCCCTCTTCCGGCTTCACAACGATGTACCATAGTCCCAACCCACACAGCCTTTGCAAATGGAGCCAGGCTCCCTGTCCTCAGCCGCCGCCATCAGGCAACCAAGTACAGACAAGTGGCCTCCACTTCCATTACCCTGGCAGCTATCTAATGCATCTGAACCACAAATGGGCCCTCCCATGTCCCTACCCCTGCTCCATCTTCATAAACTGAAGAAGACAGGAGTCCCTAAGGTATACAATGTTTCTTTCCAGATCCCTTTAAAGGAGTGGGGGTGAAGGGGAAGGAGATACATATGTGCTAATGGAGTCTATGGCTGAAACAATTTCTCTGCAGATGTGCTCTGACTAGCCACACACTGATCAATTTTGTTATGCTAAAGTAACTGAAATTAATGGTGCTATTTGAAGGGAGGGGATGGGATGTGTCTGTCTGAAGTTGGAATAAGAGTTTTTCTAATATACTAAGCTGCTATTTTAATCCATAATTACATTAAATGGATAATTTTTAGAACTACTTTAGATTCACTGCAATTTCCACCTTTCTGAAAACTTTCTCTCACAAACCCAATGCTGGTCTCTAAAAGGTAAACAGAGGGCAATGAAAAATATCAAAATATAAGTGAAATTTGAGGAGAACTGATTACTGGGAGAAAAATACCAACTGTCTAGATAACTTTTCTTGAGGCTGTCACGGAGCGTCCTGAGTGGCAGCAGCTCAGGCGCGGGCCTTGGGCCTCACCGTGCAGAGCACTGCACTTCTGCCAGCACTTGTTGAGAACACTGACTCTAGGCTCGAGGAGTGCAAGCATCTGACATTTACTCAGGGCCAGTCTTCAGGAGTACTGGAGCTATGTAAATCGGAATTTTTTAAGGAAGCAAGAGGATTAGGTTTAAATTCTGGAAGGTCCAGCCAACAGTAGAAATACTTCCTGTTCTAGAAAGGTCAGAAGGTGATCTGATCAGTGTCTTCCAGCTTTGCTGATTCCTACTGGTTTGCAGTAAAGAGGATACCCTGGAGCATATCTCTAGCATTTCTTACCCTTGTCATCAGCCAAGAAAAAGATCTATAACAATGCTGAGGTACCTTTTAAGGGTTTCTATGACAGCTTTAACATAATTCTGGGCAAGGGACAGAAACCTCAGAGAAACTATAAAACACAATCCACATAGCACCATAATATTGTTTGTTCTGGGAATTCTGCCCTTAGAGAAACTGCAGTCATGAACATGCAGCCACTTTCTGAGCCATCTTGCCACAGCGCAGGCAGCCTCAGCCAGGGAAGCAGGGAGAAGCAGCCACACCCACCACAACAAGGGCTTCCCTGCTGGGTGACAGTGCAGATCCCCGCTGGGGAGAGCCCACAGTGGGAAACAGAGCTTGTCTGTAATGGTCTCAGCTGAAAAGCAATGCAGCAAATACTCGGCAAATGACGTCCAGTCACACCCTCGATGGCTAGCGCAGCCAGTGGTGTCCGACCCTTGGGAGGGAAGATTTCTAAAACCCACAAGAGAAGTACTGGGACCGCTGAAAACACTGGATCTAGAGGCTGCCATTTCTTATGACTATTTCCTCTGCGGCTGTGAAAGTTACTGGGATAAAGCCTTCACTATCAGCAGAGAGAAGAATCCAGTGGGAGTCTGCAAAGTAAAATAAACACAGAAGCAACTCAGAAAGAAAATTTCTTTCTACAAAGAAAACCTGACAAAGTAAGATATTTTCAGGGGAAGAACAGAGTGGAGGAGAATACTGAATCGAAGTGTCACAGAGTTTGCACCAGGTTGTATGGCAGGAAGGGTCGCGACAACTTAGGCACAGTTAAGGGACATTTCACCCTGGCTACACATTCATCACTCAGAACGATGCCTTGTGCACGTGTTAGGGACTGAGTGTGGCCTGTCCCGACCAAATGATCCACAAGTTAGTCGCCAGTTTCTCCAGAAACTATGTGAAGTTGGTAACAAGCACGAAGGAAACTTCTTTATTCCTGAGATCAGTACCAACCTTTACACACTCAAAGAGGCTGAGTGGACTACAGCAAGATTACAACAGGCCAGATAATCCTGGTTTGTCCTGGGTAACCCAGGGCCTCTAGCATGGCATGCGTCTGGACTTTCTCTGGTTCTTTCTAGTCTAAAGGGTCTCAGCTTTTGACTTCTGAAAAATCTCTGAGAACAATGGGTAAAATACACAGAGATTTTTTATTAAATGTTATTTGTAACACTAAAATGTCAAAACACTGTGCCTCCAAGAATGGAATATTAACCGCACCCACACAGTAATAATGACAACTATGACACCTTATCATAAATGCATGTGTCAAAATAAAAAAAATGCTAATGCTGTAATGTTAATGAAACAAAATGTTCAACAGTGGTTACTGTTGCAAGAATGAAGCCTAACAGAACCACCCTGCTCACCTGTTGGAACACAGGCCTGACTCAGACCCTCACCACACAGGAATGCCCATGTTTGCTGCATATTAAATCAACAAGTGCTTTAAGGAAGATCCTGAAAGTCTGTTATGATCTGTAGGCTCTAGGGCAATGGATGTTTATGACATTCCTTACCGTTTTTATATATGGCGTTGTAACTTTTCTAATTTTCTCATGTTCAGTTTTTGCAGCTAGGCTATAGTTCCTAAAGGATAGAACCCAACTTTATCATCTGTTTTGGTACACAGGTCTGGGTATACTTATTAACCATTTAACCTCCAACTGGTTGGTATCCCTCATTTTCATTATCAGTGAAAGTTATGAAATAGGTGGTAGATGTAGGGTTGGGTGCACTTTTGGATTTTACCTACCATGCAGCATTTCAATAAGAGAGAGGCCGAAAGTCTGCTGGACTGTACTGAGCCTTAGTTTGCCATTGCAGAGAAGCAGGGTTCTTTTTTCAACAACAGGACCTAGATAAGATTTCTTCGAATATAAAATAAAAGTTATTAAACTATTTGCAGAAGCATTACAGCTATTAATATTTCTTAGCTATAGAATGCATAACTTCTTTCTACTAATTCTTACTTATTACCAACTACATTTCAGTTTTAAATGAGTTTTTCCCTGTGTTATTTGAAACAATAAAAAGGGTCAGAACTAAACAATCCCAAATTCACTTTTCCTTTAGCTCTGCTCTTTCCTTATGTCTTTATCACAGGGAAATGGCCTTCCTAAGATCTGATGAATACTAACGGATGATGAATGGCAGACTGAGAGACACAGTTTGATAGTAAGGAATAACTGCTTGGCTGTTTTAGATATAATTAAGAAACTTCATATTTCCTTTATTGGGAAAAAGTACCAGAAATACTATCCTAAATGGTGAAAAACTAGAGGATTTGCATAAGTAAAATAAACTGTTGTCAAAACCCACTTAACTTAGAAAATTATTTTGAAATTTTGATGTGTGTGGGGGGGTGAGGGGGTGTCAAAGACAAAGTGCTATCAAGTAAGGCTTATAGCCTAACTGGAAAACAAACATATCAGGATCCCCACTGCAGCCTGAGTTCGATCCCAGACAGGGAACTGACCCACATGGCGCGGCAGACCTCTCCTGTCTTGCCTGCTACTCCCTCAACAGTGGATTTCATTATATCTGCCTGTTCTGCTCCCCACTTTGTCTCTGGTGAATCCTCTCACCCTGCCGTACCTCTGACCTACATCCTAGTTCTTGTATACATAAACAAATGTTTTTTAAAAATCATTTTAAAAGTTTTAAAAGTAACATTAAAAGTTAACTCATCTGGCCCTCCCTGCTGGCGCCGTGAGTTAAAGCACAGCACTATGAAGCTATCTAAAGGCACTGTGGTATGAATTCAAATCCCAGCCAGGGAGATGACCCGTATGGTGTGGTAGACCTCTCCTGATCTGCCCACTGCTCCCCTCAGCACTGTGTTTCAGTGGATCTGCCTATTCTGCACCCTACTCTGTACCTGGTAAATCCTCTCACCCCCACACTTCTGGCCTGTACCCAAGTTTTTGTCAGCATAAGTAAATAAATCGTTAAAAAAAGACCTTAAATATAAAAAAATAAGAAAGTATTGCAAGAAAATCTGAAGTACTATATGTATATTAATTTCTATAATATAAGCTTACAATCCAACAGAAAAAAACAAGTAATAGGGAATTTACATCCCACTGGGAAAAATATATTCCCTCTTAAACTCACTAACATAAAGGAAATAAAAAAGTGTGAAACACCGTTTCTCATTGATCAGACTGATAAGGGTATGAGGAAAAGGACAGCCACACAGGTGGCTGGCGGGCATCTGATGGCGCCTTGTTAAGTAAAAAACACCTTTGAACGGCAATCTGGCAGCTCAAGTGTCTGAATGTGTATGATAAAATTCTATATATGTGTGTGTATGATTTACATATCTACTTCTGGGAACCAACCCAATAGAAATAAAAGTATGAATACACATAAGAATATGACTGCAGCACTGTTTGGGTATCTAAGAACTAAAACAAAGCGCCCGGCGACAGGGGAATGGCTGAGTAGAGAGCACACTTCCAGCACGAAGCAGAGTGTACCATGTGACCCCATTTTGGCAAAATAGTGGTGAACACCACCCCTACCCCCACAAAGATCTGTGTAAGACTACAGGAAAATGAAATAAGATATGGGAGGATACACACTAAGTTGCTGGTTGAAGTGCGTAACTGGGAAGGGAAAGCAGGGCTGAGTTCAATGGGCAAAACCAGACCTGATGACACAGGACAGGGTCCCACATAGCACACTGGTACATGCACATGTGTGAATAAATGCACTGACATTTCCCAATGACCATCAGCTTTCTTATAAATGGGTGTGTCTGCATTGCACAGGAAAACTTTTCATAATAATGTAACAGAGTAAAAACTTTTTTTCTGAATATAAGTGGCCAGAATGAGTGAATCATTCATTTTCCACACCACTCACGTGGTTTTAGTCATGGTAGCGCCAGCAGAGGGCTTACCGGAAAGGGGCATCAACTTGCCTGCAACATAATGTGCCCCACTGAGTAAAGTGCTGTTAGGACCCCATCTTCCTATCACTCAATTTTTCTTGCAGTACCCTCCGGCTGCAGGAGTGTTTATGCATAGTGGGAGCTCTTCAAAGGGGAAGTTACCTGGTACGTGATGTGAACGTAAGGCAGATTCCGACAGAGTGGATACATGGGAGAAACCTTCCTTCCGTCATGCAGTAAGTCTCTGAGTGAAGAGAGACAGCGCTGCACTTCTGTCAGGTTCCGAGATAAAATGTCCAGTTCTCTAGACAGCTGGTAAGTGTCCTTTTCCCTTTGTAAGTTCTTTATTGGAAGCAAGTTGGGAGGTTCGAGGGTGCCGGTGTGGTCTGATGAGCTACAGGTTCTAGGCAGCGCTCCTGGGTGGTGACTAGATTTAGCATCTAGAGTTTCCAGGGCTATGGAGTCATCACAGACACTGGAAGGAGGGCTTTTGATCTCTTCAATACAGGCACTTCCAGGACAGCCTCTTGGACTGTTATCACCAGCTGCTGACAAGAGCCCTATGTTTTGGCGACAAAAATCTGGGGGAAGACTTTCAATCAGCTGCTTTTTACTTGCTATATTTAGCAGAGCATTGAAAGGAGAGGAGTCACTCTTGTTTTCACTCATTGTTACTGAAAGTTTTTCCAACATTACTTCTCTAACCATCAAACAAATGATATACTGATTGGATTTTGAAGAAGGAAGAAATGTTGAATCTGTGGCTTTTTGTTTTCCTACCAAAATTAATAATAATTTATCTGTCAAGAAACAAATGCCTTTTGGTCTTTCACTACTCTCTAACTGAATCTGCTGGGTGTTTGGCATAAATGATGGAATGACAGAATAGATAAAAATTATATTACAAGTATTAGAAGCTACTGCCACTACCTGTGCTTTAGGATTAAATGCTATTAGATCAGGAACCAGAATACCTGGAATGGCGAATTTTCTGGTTCCAGTAACATCTTTCTCAAAGGTTACAAGAATCAAATGTGAAGAATCCAAGCCAGGTCCTGATAAACAGTCCTTTTTTCTTAGACAAAGTAGAGAACTATCCTCAGATCTAGATTTATCAAAATGTATATGAGTTAGATCCAAAGGATCTGAAAAGGAAGAAGAAATGAAAGAAGCTGACGTTTCAGAAGGGACTACCCCATCGTCCATGGAGGGTGTTTTGCCAGTAACTGTTAAAGTATATACACACGTGTCTTCACCACTAGGCTGGGTGTCAAAGGTCTCGGCTGCATTTAAGCCACAGATCTTAGCTAGTGGAAGCTCTGTGGCCACCGCAACCTGTGAGTCCACCGTGGCTCCCATGGAGCGGATGTAGCTGTCCACCTCAAACACCGGGGTGAAGGAACACCTGTGAAGAGTCTTCTGAGCACTGTCCCAGATGAAAGACTGCAGGCTGCTGCCTACTGCCACCACGAGCCTCCGGCCATCCCGGGTCCAACACGCACAGTGAATGAGGCCCTGGGTGCTGATGTCCGCTTTTACCTGGGAACTGGCACAGTGAACATTGTGGAAAAGGGAGACATCCTGTGCAGTCAACACAGTCAAGATAGCATCTCTGGGGTGCCACACACAGCCCTGGGCAAGGATCGGAAGTGACACTCCAAGCTCACAGGTCTGGGACATCAACCACTTGCTTGTCCCTGTAGGGCTGAGGAACAGCTGCCAAACACGGACGCACTTCTCATGCTGCACGGCGAGCAAGGTGGGCCCGTCGGCTGGGCCAGGTGGGGCCCAGGACACCCGGCACACGTGCTCAAATTGTCCAATGACCTCTGAGTCCCCAAGTGCGGCCTCTCCACCGTGAAGCTGTAAGTCAGTCAAGATTACCTGATTCCCATCAGTCCAGGCCAGGCCATGAGTTGGGTGTATTGCTTGATACAGTGCATTCAGTCCAGTTCTGAGAAGTTTTCCCTTTCCCAACTCCATCCCTTCTGACAAAGGTTACCTGCAATAACGAAGACAGTAAGTTATTGAATGTAATTAGACAAATCCAGAAAGTAGGACATTTTAAAAGGCCCGCACCTTTCACAGGTCAATGCTGTGAGGGGAGAAAAGGACGGGGAGGACATGGCAGATTAAGAGAATGCTGACATGGAATGGATATCAAAAGATCCCGCAGCCTTACTAACTTCCTTAAATGTGAACATGGGGGCCCTCCCTGGTGGCGCAGCGGGTTAAAGCACAGCACTGAGAAGCTTAGGCCGATTCTGCATGAGTTCGATCCCCGCCTGCCACGGAGGTGACCCACATGGCGTGGCACACCTCTCCTGACCCGCCCGCTGCTCCCCTCAGCAGTGTGCTTCATTGATCTGCGTTCTGCTCCCTGCTCTGTCTCTGGTGAAGCCTCTCACCCTCTGCATCTCTGGCCTGTACCCCAGTTCTGTGTGAATAAATAAATCAATCTTAAAAAAAAAAAAAAAAGTGAACATGGTGTTGTGGCTATGCGAGGAAAAGTCCCTACGGTTAGAATGTACATGCTGAAGTATTTGGGGGAAAGTGTCACAGTGGCTACAACCTGCTTTCAAATGGTGTCACAACAACAAATTTGGTAGAGAGGTCTGCAGAGATAAAACAAATGTAGCAAAAGGGTTGCTGAATCCAAATGGAAGCTGTGCCAGTATTCACAATAATTTCAACTTTTAAGTTAGAAAGTTTTCAAATTAAAGAATTTAGGAAAAGCTCCTTTACCATCTAATTTCTAGTCTCCTTTCAATTACCAAATCAATAACTGATACTTATATCCTGGACTTTATGACCACATGTTTTTTCAACTCCCTTCAAAATGGCTTTTATCTCTATTCTGAAATGACACTCGAGTCATTGTTGCTCTATCTACTTCATTGCAGTCAAGTGTCATGTAATAATTTTTAGAATATTTTCATTCTCTGTTGCATTTACTCCTGAAACAATCTTTCACAATAATGTAAACTAGGGCCGGCTAGTCACTAGGGACTCAGTTTGACTTTCTCTCTCCTGCTTTCTCAGCTTCCGAGTTCTACTAATTCTCAGAGTTGTTACTGAATCCAATACTTCTTTTTAAAAAGATCTATTTATTCACACACACAAGAACTGGGGTCTAGGTCAGAGATGTAGGAGGTGAGAGGATTCACCAGAGACAGTATGGGAAGCAGAAAAGGCAAATCTACTGAATCCACTTCTGAGGGGAGCAGCAGGCAAAAGAGAAGTCTGCTGTGCCCTGTGGGCCAGCTCCCTGGCTGGGGATCAAATTCATGCTGCAGTGGCTGGTGAAAGCTTGATAGGGCTGAGACTTAACCCCTAAGCTTAGTACTTCTTATCCTGGGTCAGAGCACTATCACCTTAAACTTAAAATAACTGACTGCTAATTGATTTCCCTACCTCTAATCTATCTTTTTTTCCTCTAGTCCATTTTGTATAAAAACAATCTTAAAATGCCCCTTTAGGTATGGCACTGATCAACTTTAAAACCATCATCTAGTGCCTTTAGCTGTGCTGTTTGGCACAACAGCAACTAGTTACAGGTGCTACGTCAACTTAAATCAATTAAAATAATAATCCAGTTCCTTACAACACGAGCCCCTTTTCAAGTAGTCCATGGCTACCATATTGGACAGAGCAGAATGGAATACTTCTATCATCAAAGAAAATTCTAGACAGTGCCAGTGCTAGAGAATTCAAGTCTGAATTCCTCAGTCTGATATTCAAAACACTTCCCAATTTGAATGTAGCTGTCTCCAGTCTTATTTCTGGTTATTAAACTTCATGGGGACAATGCCTGACCCATTCCAAATGGCGAGTGACAACAGAAGGTCCAGTTGAGAGCCATCCCCCTCTTCTCTAGCACCCAGCTACAGCAGATTAACTGCAGACGCCTACAGCCTTCGGAGTCTAAGCTACTCAGGTGAGATGCTTGGTTTCCTAGTGCAGTCACCTTACCCCATTTCCACAACTAACAAAGCCCTTGAGAGCAGAAATTAGACTTAAATGTTATGCCTGTCAGTTTTTGGCATACATTACAAGTGCTGCAAGTATTTTATTCTTGGCTTATTCTGACTTCATTACATCGTGTAAGACATTGCCAACTGGGTCACAGTGTTGCCAGGGGTTGTGTTGATTACATTTTATTATGCCTATAATACACAGTCAGTAAAGGCCCTTGAATTCTATCTGGATGTGCTTTCTAAGGCTGTTAAGTAACTCAGGCTTAAGGAAAGAATTGAAACAATGGGGCACTACCTGAAGGGCTGTTGCCCTCCCTTCCAGCACTTAAGAGTGTAATGCTGCTACATGAGCACGTCTCACTTCTTACATGGCTGAAAAGTAAAAAGCTAAGCAACCGCATAGATTGCCACACATTTTTAGGTTTTACAGAACTCACATTGTTATTTAAAACACGAGGACAAATGATGCTAAGTGATAATTTTAACATTTTATGAAAACAGAACTTAACAAGTGAAAGTTTTCTCCCTAGGTAGTGTTGGGGCAGGGGCAAGGGGAGGGGAACTCACACCGTTACTGCTGGTGATTATTACAATGGAGATTCTGTCAGCGACATGGTAAGAACACCTCATCTTACATACGGAGCCCAGGCTGTACTGTTGCTTAAATGAGCTTTAAGTTGGTTGCACCAGTTGGCTCTGCTTCAGTGTTCAGCGACTGTTAAGCTTGGATTTCAGCCTTTGGAAAGCATAATGGCCCAATGCCTCAGGCTGTAAATGTCATTTCTAGTATCCCTGATGCATGGCCAACACATATCCAAGATCCATAAGGTCAGTAATAAGAATAAGGCACATTATTTGAATAATTTGTAATATCTGAATGTTCACTTTCAAATCCAGGCTAACATCCTAAGAGTTCTTTTTAACAAGGCAACCAATGCCTCAAGCGCGTTATACTTAAAAATTCTATCAGTGAGCTGATACATAATGTATAATGTAAGAATAAAGTGTTGCAATAAGACTGTAAAGATTAATTTGGGGAAACAACAGTTAAGAAAGTCATGGTAAGTAATTTTCAATATATACACAGTAATGAAAATGTGAATGCAGGGGGGGAAAGAAAACCGTGTAATCAAAATGAGTTGCCCCAAAATATCTTATACTTCTACACTCCCAGCTGAAAGGGAGTGGCTATTTGGCACTAAAAATATGTAGCATAGTGACAAGCATAACCCAGGAGCTGTCAGTACTGACAAATTTTCTTTTCCTGAAAAATAAGGCCAAGCTTTAGACTTAATGACTAAAATGTTGTAAGAATAAGAACTATAAAATTGGAAAGAAATTTCAGATTTTCCTCCCCCCCCACAGGCTTATATGATTTTCTGTGCAAAATTTGATTTTACACTGAGAGATTTATGTAGCCAACCTATTTTGGTGGCACCTCAAGTTCAGACTTTCCTGATCACAGAATCCTGACATTAAAAATCAGAACGACGGGCAAAAAAGTAACCAAGCTTTCAGTAGGCAGTTCTTGGTTAAAACTTTTACACCATTCATAGGAATCAAGTCAACAAAAAGTATGCACACTCTGACTACTAGTTCTCTCTCTAAATTACTGTAACCACAGTGTTTGGTTGCAGCCACTATGCTGCTATGATAAAACACACAAGATGCTCTTAAAACCTGAAATAAGTAATGCACCACGGAGCTGATCAATACAGTTGTCTCAAATCCTTCCTGGAAATAGACTAGGTATCAATTCTATACAGTACTATCATAAATGTGTATATAAAGATTAGCCTTACAAAATTAAATGCCAAAATCTAATTCTAATGTGCAACTTATTTGACAGAATAATAATTTTGTTGCAATTAAGGATCCAAGAAATTTTAAAACCCATCCTCAATTTTGACAGCAAAATTTTATGTTTAACCTTAATATGATCTAAGACATGTCAAAACAAAGGAAATCAGGATGTCATTGCTAATGACCATAAAAAACAGACTATGATCGATAGACACACCCAGATATTATCTTGTTGGCCATACTGAAATGAAACCAAGGGAAGAAATGTGCCTGGCGTGTGCCAAACATGGGACTGTCCCTAGGATTCAAGTGTGATAGTCTTAAACAGGCATGTGAGGGGGGTTATGATTTTTATTTGAGAGCTAATAAAGCTTCAAAAAGTTAAGACTCTTGCCACTTCACTACAGCAATTCCCAAATATATGTATACACATACACATACATTGTGTACATACAACCTTTGTAACAGAAACATATAAATGTGTAGGGAAAAATAAAGAAGCTCTATGAGAACTGGTATAGAAAAACCCCTTACTAAATAGAGCAGTCTAATATGTGCACAATATTTATGAAAAAAAATCCACCTCTATATGCCTATACATGTGTATTTTAATATATTTACATAAATGTGCAGGGAAAAAATCAGGAATAATACATACCAAATTACTGAGGGTAGATACTGAAGAGGGCGGGGTGGTGCAAGAGATAAGGGGTCACCCACTTTATTTATCTCTTAAACTTCTGACAAAAACTTTTACTAATATGCTTGTAGTCAAGCAGACCTCTTGTAACTGAAAGAAATGAAGATTTAAAATACATTTTATTATAAAGAGTTTTCATAAACTAGTTAAAAAGATAAATACCCTAAATTTAAAATGGCCAGATACCAACAGGCAATTGATAAAGTAATAAAACACTGATCAACAGGCATCTTTATAAGTGGTGTTTAACCTTATCATCAAATAAAGCTGCAATGTCTATTTTCTACCACTCTCTTTTTAACCACCCCAAACTGATCCCACTCCCATTGCTTTGCCAAAGCTCCTTTCACCAAAGCACTAGTGCCATCCACATCACTGAATGCAATGAACATTTTCAAACCTGTTTTACTGAGCAGTGTTCAAAGACAGAATGTCAGATTCTAAAGCCAAAGAAATGCATTTGTTCCCAAACTACTCGGTGATTTTAACTTATTGCAAGTGATTCTCTATACCCTTTGTTGACTTTGTCCTTGCTCTTAGAATCTCTTACTTGAACATTTTGCTTCTACACATGATGTCAGATTAAGTGGCTCATCAGTGGTTTGCTAAATGGACGAGTAAGTTCCCTGTCATCACTGATGAAGAAAACTGCCATCTCTAAACCGCTGATCTTATATAACATAATATATGTTTTCCCTTAATATCTACTTATGCACTTTTAAAAGACTTATTGATAAATAATGCATGATACATTTTCCTGGGCAGAGAAATTTCCTAATGGGCCAATGTCACAGGCAATTCACATGTTATGTTTTAAGCTACCCATATTAGTCTAATGTTGTTGACAGTGTGTGTGACCAGGGAGAGCAGAGGGTAATAATTTGTGATCAAGGGGAAAGACAAAGTTGTGGAGGTTTTTAGAAAAATAAACTAGTAGTTTCATTTTTAGTAACAGGAAGCAATTTGGCCTATTTTCTCAAACACCTAATGATAATTACAAAAGTCTGCTTCAATCCTTTCAGTCCATTACTAGAGTAGATTCTGACCACCTCTCCATTTTTTGTAGGGAAGGACAGAGAGGTCTGGCTTGGTACAACTCTCTTCTCTCCCTCGGAGCCTATATTCTGTGTGGTTGGGCCGAATTATCTTCTTTAAAAACACAGCTCTCATCATTTTGTTCTTCAGCTCAAATACCTTTCATGAGTCTCTACAGCAATGTATGTGTGTGTGTATAATATATATATATATATATATATATATATATATATATATATAAAGTTCTTTCAAAATGTCTTAGAAAAGCATTTAAGGCTTCACATGGTCTGATAAGGATATATCTTTCCAATCTGATTTGCCTGACTTATAAAGGATCCGCCGAGGAATTTGGAGAAACCAGCACATACTCCTGTGACAACGTGCAGGTTGGAGCGAAGAAAGACGGAAGTAGAGAAAAACTGTTTCAAACGGGGCCATTAAACAGCTTGAATGTCACATTAAAAAAAAAAAAGTGAGCCAACTTTGTAGCTACTTCAGTGGAGAAATGGGCCATATTCAGGAGACATTTCTAACGCTGCTGGGCGTGTTCGGGGAGGCGGTGAAGGTGAAGAAAAAGAGAAGTGGGGGCTTGGAACTGCTGAACCACTAACGCGCGCGAGAGAAGCACTGCCTACTTTCAAGGTAAGGCGGCTGTGCAGAAGTGAGCGGGCGCCCCCACGCCATTCTCTGCACTCCCGGGCCTCTTCTCGCCCTGCTCCCCTTCCAGATGCCGGTCTCTCCACCTTCGTCCCCGCCCAACCCAAACCGTCCCACCCCAGCCAGTCCCAGCAGCAGTGACGACAAAATACCTCTGCCCCACTGAAATAGTCTCGCCGAGGCCGCACCACCTCACCCATCACGGATCCAAGTCCCGAGAGGGCACCGGAAGCGCCGGCACACTGGTCTCCGATAGGTCAAGGGAGGCGGGGCAAGTTAGGAAGTAGCCCCAGACTATTGGCTTTCATCTGTGTCACTTTAGGAGAGATTCCTTCTCACTGGCCAATGATCTGGGATTTTGCTGCAAGGCTCTCTGGGAGTCGTAGTCTTTGCCAACCTCCATCGACATTACCCGTCCCTTACTTCTGCCTCCCGTAAGAAATTTGATATCGTGCCCCATTTCTCATCTGTTCTCTCAGTACTAAAGGCAGCACCCTTTCTTTCTTTCTTTTTTTTTGGTGGTGGGGGAAATGGAAAGAGCCGAGGATCCCCAAAAAAAGTATTAATAAAATAAGCATTTTTACTTACAGTTAATGGTGAGGTCTGCCCACATCCTGCCCCAGTTATGAGCCCCTGTTCTTACCCCAAAAAATGCCTGCACAAGGCCATAGCCCACAGAGGTAGAATGTCCCCTGTTTTCTTTAAATCAGTCCACTCCTGAGAGTGCTTTGGGAAATTCAGAGCCTGACTCTCAGAGTACAGTTGAAGATCATTGCTCTTGAACAGTACAGAACTCCTTCAGCAATGCTGGTAACCTAAGGTTTCTGCCCTTACTATTTGGGAGGGTGAGGGGTACGGAAACGGAGGAAGAGCATTTCTAGGGCCCACTCTGGATACTTTTGCTCAGACCTTTCTCTCCATGCCTATCTTCCAGCGCCACTCGTCAAAATCACACCTCCATATTAATTTTTGGTACAATGCAGGGAAACATGAGAAAATTGGAGAAACATTCAAAGTCCCATTCATTGTTCAGGAAATTATTGTGCCTCCAAAAATATCTTTCCAGATTTCTGGATCTCCTTGAGTGGAGGTGAAGCGTCTGACGTGGAGATTCGTATAGAATTCATTCATTCATTCGTTCGTTCATTTCACAGTAGGACTCACTCCACCCTGAAATTTTGTCACCATCCTTTAAGATGAATTTCCATGAGGACAGCAATGAATCCAGTTGAATCCAATTAATACAGTTGATAACCCCAGAGCGCAGTTTTTTTGGTCTTTTTTTTTTTTTTTTTTTTTTTTTTACTTTAAAAAGGTGGAAACCTGGGGGGAGGAGGCGGGGACAGGAGGTTAGAGGGGTGACAGAACTGTGCGGTGTGCGGGGGTGGTGGGTGGTTAGAGGAGGGTATGCAGTGACTGGTTTTCTAGCTCCCACACCCCACGCACCCCACCCTCCAACGTGTTCCTACAGATTCGGGCAGCCTAGGGGGTGGGTAGAACTCTGGTACTTCCACACCGTCCTGAACTCCATGGCAATGAGCAATTCTAATTAAAGTGTTGGTTTACTTGCCGATCTTCCCCTAGTCTGTGGAACCGGATTACGCCCCAGAATATAGCAGAGTGGGTGCTAGATAAATTGTGGCACCCATGGATGAATGGATGGGTGAGTGCACGCTGTAGCGGGTGAGTGGATCGCAAGCGTCTGCACGCCTCCCTCGCCATCCTCCCAGTGGGCTGGCTGAGGATCTTCAGCCTCACCGGGCTCGGGAGCCGTAGCGCCAGGGCTGCTGCCCCCGGGCTCCTCCCCGGCCCCGGCCCACCCCACCTTCCTGCGCCGCCCCGCCCCGCCGCCACCTTCCCCTTGGCCCCTCCCAGCGCAGGTCCCGACTCCAGCCGCACCTCCTCCGGCTCTGCAGTGGCGGCGGGGAGACGAGCCGGAGCGCCTGCGGGGCCGGAGGCGAGCCGGGGTCGCGGCGGCAGCGGGGACCCTCGGAGGCGGGGCCAGTGGGACCGCGATGGGCGTGGAGATCGAGACCATCTCCCCGGGAGACGGTACCGGGCGGCAGAGCCGGGGGAAGAGGAGGGGTCCTGGGGCGGAGCCGGGCGGTCAGGGGTCTGATTCCGAGGTGGCGCGGTAGGTGCCGACCGGGAAGGGGGTGGGGAGCCTGAGGACTGGGGTGGCGGGAGGAGACCACAGACCGCATTGTTGGGGTTCTGGAAGAAGAGCCTCCACCAGCCTCTTCCCGGCCCGCTCACTAAGGGGAACGAAGGCTGCGGCCGGAGGGACTGGGGTCTGCGGCCGCCACCGCCCCGGGGACTTCCAGCGCCGCTGCCGCGGCTGGAACTGCTCGATTATCCGCTGCTGGGGCTTCCCCAGGGTGGGTTCTAACTCCGCTCTCCCTGCCCTGCTGGGTGAGCTCTGGAAACTGGGGAGAGGACATGGCTTGGAGGCTCTTCGGCAGGAGGCATCCCCTCTCTTGCGCCCCCGCCGAGCCTCGGCTCGGTGGGCCCCCAGCGGGATAGGCGGCGAGACGCTGTGTGGACCAGACAGTCTGGCAGGGAGAAGCGCGCCCGCCGCCCGCCGCCTCTGCATCTCACTTTTATCCTCGCCCCCCGCGCAGCCTCTCTGGCCATCCTATCCACTCTCCTGGTTTTCATTATGGTTTGCACACCGATGGCCCCCAAACTTAAACATCCAGCCCACACCGCTAATCTGAGTTCTCCGTGGCCCATTTATCCAGTGGCTGCGCGACCCCCACCTGGATGCTTCAGGGATGCTCCAAAGTCGGCAAGATCCCAATGGGAATTTCGCTCGGTCTTCCCCACTCCCCAGCAACCCGCAGCTCCTTGCCTCCTGGATCCAGCACCACTCACTTTGCCAAGCCAGACATCCCAGGCAGCACACTAGTCTAAATGGATGAGTAGAGGAAAAGCTATTTCTTAAAACCTAACTCAAAAGCTTCTGTTTCTATAGGATTTCACAAACTTCATTCCCGTCACAATTTATTGACACCCAGCCCCCAGGGAACAGGCACCCTCCAGTTTCAGGTCTCCTTCCTTGATGAAAGGAGTGGTCTGAAGTATCCCAGTCATGGTTCTGGATCACCCTTGGGTGCAGGCTTCATCATCCAAGCTGGGAACTGAGATGCTGAGTCCCAGGGTCATCTCCCTGAGGCGGTTGTCATCTCCTTCTCAAGCCCTATGGGCCTTAGGGCTCTGTCTGGGACCAGAGACTTCTTGTCCCTTCCCTGGATCAGAGGCTTCTGCCCTCTCCTGAGTCTCCCTCTTTGGCCAGGGAAAACCCCTCTTATAGGGGTTCTTGACTTTGAGGGAAGGCCTGGAGGAGCTGTTTTTCTGCTTTTAGGGGAGTCTAAACGCTTGGGTCAAGGAAGCACAAAAGGGCCAAGGGCCATACTGTTACCCTACAAAGGAACACACACGTGAGTATTTCAACAAGTTTGCTGCCAGACTGGGGGTGCCTGTGTTAGACCACCACATCCTGGCTAGTCCTGCTGAATGACCCTAAGCTCCAGCCCTCAGCCCCTGCCCTAGTGCAGGCCATTCTCATCCCTAGCTTTCTGCACAACCTCTAAACTGGTCTCCCCACTCCAGCCTCACCCCCTGCCTTCAGTTTGGCCTCCTCACCTCACCCAACTCATTTTCTACACCGAAGCTTGAGGACACTTTAAAATGCATATCAGACCATGCCCCTCCCACAGGCAGAAAAACATTAATGCACTTTCCATCTCCTCCAGGTAGATGGTGTTAGAGCCTCACATCTCACCGCCGTCCGCGTCCCCCGTCAACTTTTCCTCCAGTTAGAGAAAGCTGCCTGCAAATTGTTAAACACACCTGTCATTCAACAAATGTTTATGAATATGTACTGGGTGCTACCCCCCTCGTGCGACAGCAGTGAACCAGACAGGCTCCTGCTATTGCTCAACTCTGGGCCTACGAACTTGTTCATTCTTCCCGGATTATCTCCCTTGACTTCCTCTGGCAAACTACACATGACTTAAGACCCAGTTTATCTTCTCTCCGACGCTTTCCCTGACACCGGGTCAGCTAATTGCTCCCTCCTCTGGGCTCTAAATGTTGATTCAGTTGTTAGCCTTCCCAAAGCTTTTGTTACCCAGTCCCAGAGTGTTAAATTCCACCCAAATTTATACCTCCAGTGCAGTCTCTCCATCTGCCTACTTGCAGTATAAAGTCGGATGTCTAATATGCATCTCAAGATTGCCACCCGCACAAATCTGTCCTCCTCAGTCCTCCCCGGCACGGGGCTGAGTACTTCCCTGCCTGTCACCCACCCAAACTGAAAAAGCCAGCATCATGCTTGTTTCCCGCCCCCCTAAGCCTGGACCCCATTTCTACCCCATTAGCATACTCTGTCAGCTCCGCTTCTGAAATAAATCTCCATTTCTCTTCTCTCTGCTGCCTCCTTGTTAACTCAAGCCTTCATTGATTTTTTGGTCTGGATTATTGCAACAGGCGCCTACAGGCGCCTACCGGTCTTTCTTACATTCAGCAGCAACAGTGAATTTATAAAATCTTAATTCAGGTTATGTCATTCTCTTGCCCAAAACCTTCCAGTGGCTTCCTTCTGCACTTAGAATTCAATCTGGCTCCACAGCCCCTCATGAGCCATCTTTTTCTCACTTCTCCCCGCCCTCTCTTCTTTCCAGTCACTGAACCTCCTTTCTGTTCTGCACTGATCCTTTTCTGCCTCCAACTTTGCACTCTTGTGCCTCCCGCTTCCCACTGGGCTCTGGTCTTTCCAGCTGCTCGCTTGTCCTTCAAGCGTCCCTGCTCTGACAGGCTGCCGTGGGCTGCCCTTTTCAGTGTCTTATCCACGGTCTCTCTCCTCATTCATCAGTATGTCTATTTTCTTTAGACACAATCTGTGATCATTTGTTTACTTTTATGCTGTCTCCCTCCATTAGATCTTGTCTATGTGGCTCACCGCTCTATCCCTGAAATCTGGGACAGGCCACAGACACACAGTAGATGTTCAGTAATTATTTATAAGATTTTTTTGTATTCATCCTCACGGCAGTCGTCACTGTGTCTTAATCTTCTATCTACATATGTCTCTCCAACTTCATGGTGAATTCCTACGGGGTGTTTCTGGAATTTAGTCCAGGCCTAACACAAATGAATGTTTCTGGAATGGGTAAAGGAAAGTAAATGGTGCAATCAAAGCCAGAAAAAGAACCAGGAGAAAGTGGAGTTAAGGAACCCAAGGAAATAAAGTTCAAATCAAGGATGATGAGGGAAGTGTGGCTGGCACAAGGCACAGAGCGAGACCTGAAGCCACAGGCGTCTCCATGGTATGGAGTGTGGGCCAGAGTTCTTGGCCGTCACCCCACCTGAATGTCCCAGGCAACTTTATCTAAAATCCTACTCACTCAAGTGCCCTTGTGTCTTCTTGCAGGAAGGACGTTCCCCAAGAAGGGCCAGACTTGTGTGGTGCACTACACAGGTAGGCCTCGCCCCTCAGCCCTCTTCCAGATCTTCCCCTTCCAAGCCAGGGTTCTTGGATCCTCCTCCCCAGAGATATCTGCTCCACTGGGTCAGTCGAAAGCCCAAGGCCACAAGTCTCCTTCTGACCAGCTATTTCCCACTCCTGCCAGCCTTGTGAAAATGAAAAAGATCTGCACGAATAACCCCTCCCCGCTCATACCAAGGCTGGTACCAGCATCCAACTAAGTCCCGCACCTCCAGGCTCCTTTCCCAGGTTGGAGGCGTGGCTGTGCTGGTTGTGTATTTGAAAATTCTTCTTAAAACTCAAGAGCCCTGACCCTTCCTGTAGCCCTCTTTTCTTCCTTATTATTAGAGGAGTTTGAGTTACTTGAAATTTCCTTTCTTCTTTTTTGACATTCAATTCAGCCTGTCATGAAGCACCTACCATGTCCAAGATGCTGTACTAGGCACTGAGAGGCGAAAGGGAAGATTCTGACCTTAATTGTTTGGGCAGCGAGGTGGGGAGGGCACACAGCCTTCAAGAGCCTGGAGCAATGTGAGGACTGGGGTGATGGCAGTGCTGTCACCGGGTGCCGTGGGAGTCAGAGGAGGGCACACATCTCTGCTGACCCCCATGGGTGATCTGTATTGGAAGGCCAGGTGGGCTGAGGAACATTCTAGATAGCGTTCCTTTGGGCTGCTGGCAGGAAGAACACAAACAGGTGTTTGTTCCAAGGGAGTAAGCACTCTGCCTTGTGACCTGCTTCCCAATATGGAAAACTTGGTGACAGCCACTTAGCAGAGTACAAGGCCAGTTTAATTCCTAGGACATATTCAGATGGGGCCATTTTTAGCAGTTCTCCAGGCCAGTGTGAAGTGCCAGGTTAATTCTAGGCAGACGGTGTGGGTATTTCTCAACAGCTATGCTGCCAGTCGCTGACGTCAGTCGGCTGGAGCTGTGTTTTATCTCCTGGTGATACAACCTAATTACCATGAGTCCTCTGAGGCCTCTGACCTATGTAATTGATTTATCTGTTCTACATGTTGCAGACAGATCAGTACTTATCAAGTTACTGAAACCACATCCTTTTACAGAGGCTCTTCACAGTACATAGGAACAGGTACAGTGTGCTGAACACTAACAAGGGTTAGTTCTAGCTTGGGGTGGGATGTCAAATCTAACAGGAGACTGTCTGGGAATTTCTTTTTTAAAGAAATATAAGAATTGGGTATAGGCCAGAGGTGCAGGGGGTGAGATTCGCCAGAGACTGGGCAACAGAACAGGCAGATTGACCAAAATACACCGCTGAGGGGAGCAGCAGGCGAGACAGGAGAGGGCTGCTGTGCCACATGGGTCAGCTCCCTGGCCGGGGACTGAACTCGTGCAGCAGTGGCTGCAGATAGCTTCTGTGTTGTGCTTATCCCCTTGTGCCACCAGGAAGCCCCAGTGTATGGAAATTTTAAATACTCAAATTAAATATAAAATAGCAGAGAGCATAAATCTATGTCCAGCCCAATGAATGCCAAATGTACGGATTTTCAGCATACAGTCTGTCGCATGTCTCTTCCCAGTCATTATTCCTCCTCAAAGGTAACCATCATCCTTCTGTCCCCACTGGCTGGTTTTGCTTGTCTCTGAACTTCATATAAATGGATCACAGAGCATGTGCTCTTTTGTGCTTGGCTTATATTACACAGTATTCTATCTGTGAGATTTAGCAGAGTGGTCAGCTCCTTTTTATTCCTGTACAGTCTATTGTATGACTACTACAACTTACCTTCTATAGTTGATGAACATTGGGTTTTTAGTGTTTCGGTTATTATGAATAGTGTTACTCTGAACTATCTAGATGCCCCTTGGAACAGATATATACACATTTCAATTTGATATATACCCCGATGTGGAACTGCCAGATCATAGTGTTATACTCACACTTGACTTCAGCAAATATGCTAAATGACTTTTCAAAGTAGTTCCAAGTAGCCAGAACATACCTGGAGCAATGAGGTTTAACATGGTTGACAGGTCCTTACCCGTGTGCTTATGGACACAGGACACGGGCTACAAGCAGACACGTGGGGAGAAATAATAACACAATTTTTTTGCACAGGAAGTAAGAAGAGAGAGTATTCAGACTGACACCTGACCAGAAACCATCTATCCTATCCCAGACAGCGTCCACTGAGCAGAGGTTGAGCCCCAAGCCGAGACACCCTTCTCCCCCTGTGGTTTAACTGCCAAAACACCAGTAGCTTATTTACCAATATCCCTGCCCCCTGCAGCAATTTAACTGCCAGAAATCTCAACACTGCCCATTTTCTGATCATGCCCTTCACAGGGTGTAGAGTTTGAAAAGCTCCACCTTCTGCATTGGATCGGCTCTGAGTGCCACCAACTGGCTCAGAAATTGCCCTTCACTGTCCCGCTTACATGATGCCTAATGAAATTGAGCACATTTTCATGAACTTTCTGGCCTTATCACTTTAGCCTGCTCAACTTATGTCCATTAAAAAATTAGGTTGTCATCTTTTACCGGAGCTCTTTATATATTCTAGATAGGAGGTTTTTGTTGGTTATGCCTAGTTTCAAACATTTCCTATGCTAGGTCTTGCCTTTTTACACTTATTGGCATATTTTGAACAGCAGTCATTAATTGTAATAAAATCCTACATGTCAATCTTTTCTATTTAGAACTTTTTGTGTTCAGTTTAGTACTTTGTCTTAGGACATGAAGATATTCTCTTATTATCTTGAAGTACAATTATTTTATCTTTTATAAGTAAGTGTTCTATGATTCATCTGGAATTGATTTTCATGGGGGAGTAGGGGTCAAGATTCTTATTATAGCACAATATGACTATGCAGTTAATCTAAAAATCATCATTTATCAGTTACAGTGCAATGACACCTTTGGCATATCAGGTAACCGTATATACATGGATATGTTATTACTTGGTTTTGACTGAACTTGCAGCGGTAGACAACTGTAGATTAAGTCATATGAAACTGAATTAGGCAACAAGAAGATCAGCCTTAAATGGAGTATATCAGTGTGTATGTGTGTGTGCATATCCATTTGCATATTTGTCCAAGTGTGTGTCTGTATGCAGATCTGCGTATCTAAATATTTCTTAGCATTTATTTGGCTCTCAGGGTTTTTCTTCTGAGTGCAATTGCATAATTTCATGTGTGCATGCATGAGATTTTCTGGAATATTTTAGCAATCTGTGTGTATGCTTGAGTTTGTTTGATCTCCTTAGTACCCATCTGTGTAGATTTCTGTGCAGCCATAGGGTTTTCTCTTTAGCCTGATTTAGTATTCAGGATGAGAGCCAATTTTGTTCTACCCAAAAAGTAGGTAAATAAGACTGTTTCTACTGCTTTTACATTTAAATTGCAGGACTTAGGAAGTAGAATCATAGCTGCTCAGACATGAAGCTGGTCTAGACCTCCTATATCAAATGTAACAAATCTGAGACCATGTGAATCAGTGTCACAACGAGGTCAGAATCTAGTCTGGACGTACAGCCAGGTCCTTCTCCAGCAACAACTTACCTTTGCTCATTGTCCAGGGGCTGCAAGAAGTGAAGTTCCAGCACCATTTCTGAAAGGCCTGATCTTTGACTAGATACACAAATAAGGACTGAAGATGGGAAAGCAGCTCTTGGGCCTGAGGCAGCTGGACTGAGACAGCATGTACTCAGGGATCTAAACTGGAAGCTGAGGGCTGCTCGGAGCTGCTGGAGACAGCAGCCAGGTGCCACTGTGCTTGTATGGGGCTTGGGAGCCACCACTGACTGGCTGGGTCACTTTCACTGTTCACTGTTGTAGATCATGTGACCTTTGAGTTTTGCATGTAGGAATAATCTTAGGAAATCCAGGTGAGGACCCAACCCAACTCTGAAATGCCTGGAAAAATAAATCTTTACACCGAGGAAGTGTCATGAAAAAAGCAAAGTACAGAGTCTATTTGAGAGAATCCTGAGTAGGATTTGGGTGGACAGGAGAGCAGCAGAGGCAGGCACGAGCTTGTGTTCAGGGCAAGAGCTTACCAGCTGTCTGGGACTGAGTGCTCGTAAGTTATGTAGGCATTTGGATTCTGCTCTGGGGAGCTTTTGAAATGTTTTCAGCAAAGGAGGAATAATCAAATTTGTATTAAAAAGTCATCTGAGGTTCAATGTAGAGAATAGAACAGAAGAGTAAGAATGGAGTGAACAGACCAGTTAGAAGCTGTTCCTGTATGCAAAGAAATGTGGTGAACTGGGAAGAACATAGGGTGGTGATAATAGATATGGAGAAAATAGGTGGATCCCGAGATACGAAGCTCTCGGTGATAGGCTGCGTGTGGGAACGAGGCAAAGGGAGGCGTCCAGGGTCCTTGTTTGGCAACAGGACAGGCAACTCCAAGAGGAGCAGGTTTGCACAGAATAGGAATTCCACACGCTGGGCCTGAACTGGAAGTTAAATCACGACTGCTGCTCTTTTCCACCCTATTTTCCCTTTCACAGGAATGCTCCAAAATGGCAAGAAATTTGATTCATCGAGAGACAGAAACAAGCCTTTCAAGTTCAGAATTGGCAAACAGGAAGTTATCAAGGGTTTTGAAGAAGGCGCAGCCCAGGTAGGATGGGGCTCCTCACTAAGGGGGTCTTGAGGAGCTGGAGGTCTGGGCTCAGCACTCCACCCGCCACCCTCCACAGCTCAGACACTACTGCTTCAACTCTGTGCTGGCCCGGTGACCCCAGCCCTTTGCTGCCAGCATGACTCCTGATGTCACTAGGGCTCTCATCCCATGCACATTCCCCAGGCTTGCTCAGAACTAAGAAGTCCGGAGAGCTCCCGGCTGTCTAGGACTGAGACAGCAGAAGTCAGGGTGGGGGGTTAATAAGCCAAGGGTTTATTTTTGGAACTTCTTCTCTAGATACAATTTCAGACTTGCCCAAGTTTAGCATCTTATATAAGCAAGTTACCATGATCAAACTACACTAACACTGATATGGTACATATTAAGTAATCTATTCAAAAATTGAAATGAGCTATTCTAAAATTTGTAATTGATTTATTTAGACCAATTGTCCACTAACGCCAGGTAGAGTCTTGATAACTGCTGCGACAAGGCCAGGCTCAAACTCCTCTCCTGGCCTATGAGGACCTCTGATACGCTAGTAGAGTACCCTCCTCACCACCCTCTAGTGTCTGAACCTCACTGACGAACACTCCTATTCCCTTCTTGAGTGTGTGTGTCTACACTTAATCTCACTACACCCTCTTTAGGCTTTAGAAGAGGGTGAAGAACAGTTATGAACAAAGGAACATTTGGTTCATACACTGAGTAACTAGCAATGTTTGTTGGATGAATGGGTTTGCAACTACTTATCCCAGTCAAGCCTCTGCGAGTCTGACGCTGGAATCTGCATTGCTATACTTACTCTTAGCACCACCTCCAAGTGCCACACATAAAATTCATTCAGCTCTCAATGTTACCATGAGGATGGTTTGGAAAAATGCCGTAGTTATCTTACATTTTTCTTTTAAATCAAGCTGGGTCCTCTTTCTCCTCTCCCCATCTGCCCCCATCCCTGCTAGATGAGTTTGGGGCAGAGGGCGAAGCTGACCTGCACCCCTGATGTGGCGTACGGAGCCACGGGCCATCCTGGTGTCATCCCTCCCAATGCCACCCTCATCTTTGACGTGGAGCTGCTCAACTTAGAGTGAAGGCAGGAAGGAACCGAGGTAGCTGGAGATGGCTGCTGCTCACCCTCCTAGCCTGCTCTGCCCACTGGGACGGCTCCTCCTGCTTGGGGCTCTTGACCAGTGCGCTAACCTCACTGCCCCACGGCATTCTCTCTGCCCCAGTTGCTCTGTATGTGTTCGTTGTCATTGTTCATGCGCATCTTTGCTTGAGGAAACTTCAGTAGCAAATGGAAGCATTTCAGGTTGTGCATTATGAATGATGCATGTTGCAGTCATTCCTGATCACAGAACACAGAATTCTCGTTTGCACAATCTACACTGCCTTATCTTTACTTAAGCCAGTCACACAAGGTGCTCAGACATGAAATGTCCATGGTGTGCACAGAGGGAGTTGAGCCAGTTTACCTTTGCTGTCAGTTTCTCTCTTAAGAAATTTTGTTGGCTGCTGACCTAAACAGTGTTCTCTTCACAACTGATATGTTAAATAAAGGCTCTGTGCTTGACAAATTCCTGTTCATACTTATTGTAGGTAGGAAGTATTTTAAGGACCAAGTAAGCCAGCTTCCCTTGGGAAAAACCTTGGAAAGGAGTCTTCCAATTAGCCAGTGAGAGTGATAACAGCTATGCTGCAGGGTCTTAGTCTAAGTAATTTCAGTAGAATTGCCACCTACCCCCTAAGCAAACCTACAAGGTAGCTATTACTTGCCACTTACCTCACAGGTTCAGAATTTTCCTGCACAGCTAAAGAACTATATTGTGCCCAAATCCCATAGTCTAGCAGTCAAACATGGGGTTTGAGTATTGGCATGAGCATACCTAGACAGAAAGAACACTGTGACTCTGGACAAATGAAGGTTGCAAATCCAACCACACAGGTCATGAATTTTGTGACACATGCAGCCATTCCTCATCACAGAACATAAATTTCTCAGTTCATGCCATCTACACTGCCTTATCTTCACCTAAGGCAGCACACAAGGTGCTCAGACATGCAATGTCCATGGTGTGCACCCTCTGTACACCCGTGTACAAAACCTCACAAGGCTTGTGAGGTTTTGGAGCTTAACATGAACCTTGCCAAGTTATTTTTAAAATGTGTGTGATTCTGAGTGTTTTTACATATACACTCAATTTTGCTTAGATTTGCTCTAACATGTTGGGGAATTACTTCTGAGAAAAATATGATTCTGGACTTGTTTCCAAATATCCTGCTATTTTCATCTACATCTTCTATAACTCAGTGAAATCCTCAGCTCATTTTTTTTCAATCAGTTCATTTACTGGTGTGGGTTGTGTGTACACAGAAGGCACCATGGCTAAGAGATTTAGATTAGGCAAGAAATGCTCTTGGCCAGAATCAAGGTTACTATGTGATGACTTGGAATCACTGTAGGTCTAAGGAGCTAAGGGGCTGCTAACAGGTTTGTTATTCCTTCACAGACTTATTGATATGTCACATGATGTCATATATATGACATAGGGCCATATCATCTTGGCTACCTCATCTACCCCCATCTCCAAGAACTCCTGGCTGTTTTCCTCTGCGAAGGGTTAGGAGTTAATAAAGAGGTGGTGCTCTGAGATGGACAGAATGAAATGAGAAAGAAGCTGCCTTGCATCTAACTACTGAGTCCTTGGGCTCACTTCTACCAGGGATCAGACCAGCCACAGGGTGCTGCACTCTAAGGTGCTACCTGCTGAATGTCTTGGTTCCTAGCATTCCTATGAGAATTTCTCAAAACTCAGTTTGTATGAAAGAACTCATTTTTCTCCTGTGACACTAATAGGGTAATAATGGCACAAAAAACCATTTCAGGTCCCCATAATGGAATCACATAGAAGTCCCAGCCTAGGGTACTTACAAAGTAGGTAGGAGACATGCACCAAGAGACCCAAAATAACATAAAAAAGCCCACCCTACTAGCTGGCACCTGGAGAAGATTTGCTAAGCTCTGCAGGCCCTGTTTTACTGTCACCTTTGGAGGATGATGTGGGAAATGAAGATGCAAATGTTAGAGAGTCTGGACATTGTCCTTTGAGCACCACTGGAAGTTGTAAAGCAGCAGAGCCATAAAATCTGTCCTATCAATCATTTTCAAACTTGCAATCAAAAGTTCTTCATACAAAATTTTTCTTGCAAACTTGAAATTTAATCTAGAGGAACAATGCATGAAATATGCACATGGATACAACCACCTCCTGCTCTCTTAAAAGCAGTTTGAAAAACTGAGTTTTAGGTTAGTGACGCAGAGGACAAACTGTAACTGTGTTCTCAGAATCTAAGCACGTACACACCGAACAAGTAGCCTTCAATCCTTCAGTCCTTGTCCACTGCATTAAAGTTCTAGTAACTTAACTAGGACAGGATACAAAATTTCCAACTAGAAGGCACTTTTAGGTCGTGAAATTCAGCTAACAGATCTATTAATCCAAATAATGGACCAGTCACAACTGTCAATAAAAGCAATTTTTTCCTTGTAACTGATTTAAAACCTCATTAGAGGCAAGCTTCTGCCATTTAGACAACTCACACTGGAGGTCTGTTTTGTTTTCCCCTTACAAAAAGGTTTTTAGAAGATTCTTTTCACATTTGTAATGACCTAAAGGCACACTGTACATTACAAAAATTAGTAAGAATTTATAAGCGCATCCGCAAAAAATTTATAATGGTGGCCCTTTTGTCCTGTGTACCCTTATTACAATTTCAACTTTTACAGTGCTTTCAGAAAGCACTCAGAAAAAAATAATAAAAATTATTTCTTCATTTTCAATAATAGGTTTTGAAAACACCGTACAAAAAAGTAAATGACAGCCTATTTTCTTGAAGTAAGGATAAACTTCAAAGCTAAATGCATTTAAAAGTAGAACAGACGGTTTTTGTCTGTTTAAATGATTCAGAGCATGCAGCCATCAAACTGATGTTGTGTTGGACTCCTACATGTTTTCCCATTTAGCCCACACCTAACGTGTAAAAATTAAATTATAGCTACCTACCAAGCTCGATCTATGAATTTGTTAACAATACTATTTTCATGCCTTTGGAGTTCATGATTATAAGAATTATGTATTTTATTTATAACAAAGAAATCCTATGGCTAAAGTGCAAAAATATACACAGAAACATCATAACTAAAGGGAAAGACTGCATAAATAGCATCTCGGACAAGTTGCCACTACCACTGCTGGGGAGCTTGTTCTCAAATTTCGAACAATGTACTACATCTGACTGGCATTCCTAGAATAGACTCTGTTCTTAGGACAAGGGTTCTCACATGGACAACACTATTGGTTAACTGTAAAGCAAACATTCATATATCCTGGTTTGGTTAATAACTGATGATAAAGCAACTTTCTATGTAAACATTTTATTCACTCAACCAACATAATGAGATTTGCCTTCCTTATCTTCAAGATGAAGATACCCACATCTTGCAGACAGTTATGACTTCACTGTTAATAGACAGACAATAAATGACAACACTAACAAGTCCTCTTGAAGGCTTTACCTGAATGAATATTAAGAATATACAGAGGTCTTTGCTCTATCTCTAAGACCACCTACCATTCTTGATAGGATCCAACTACCTGTTTTTTTCCCCCCAGTACCAAATAGGAGAGAAAACACTGACATATTCTACCAAAAGCTGTAAGTTTATTAACATAAAGTATTCACGCAGGTATCAAAGTTTTAAGGAGGTCATTTTGAATCTCAATAAGAAATCATAATATTCACTATTAATTAAAAACACAAAAAGGTGGTGGTTATGGTTTCAGTCCAAAATGAAAATAGAGAAAACATTTACTTTGGTGGGTCTGTATTGATGCCATATTTCTCTTTGAGAAGTTTCAACTGTTCTTCCTTTTTCTTTGTGTCCATCTTCTGAAATGCCTGAAATGTGGTAAGCACCAAAATTAAGTTACCAATCCACATTTGCATGAATTTCACCAACAGCACTACCCAGAAAAAACTCCTACTAGACTTCCCCAGCCTGGTGCAGTGCTACACTGATCCCTACAGGGCTCTCCGTCCCAACAGGAACCATGGTCATTACTTACTCTGTTGGCATTATAGTACAAAACCACCAGGTATCTGTTACAAACGTTGAATCCGGAGAGGTGATCACATGCATTCTTGGCATCAAAGATGTCTTCATAGACCACGTAAGCTGTTCCTCTCGTTTCAGGTGTGTTTCCCCTAAAAAAAAGTAACCATAGAAAATGAAAGACTTAAATTTTATTTACATATCCTGACACTAACTTGAAAACCATTAGCGGAATTAAACACTATGAACATGTATGCTAAAAAAGCTTGTAATTTCTTGAGTTAGGCAATCATGTTGCCTGAGAACCAAGTTTTAGTCTTAAAATGGAAAACACACATATTGTAGCCATGTCTTTTATTAGTCAGCAATGTCTAAAATGGGGCTTTTCTCACCGTGCATTTATGCAACAGAACCAGTACTTTATTTACCATGCTATCCCCTGGAAACTAGTCTCTTATTTCCAAAGACTTTGATTTTTTTCCCTCCTACTCTCTATTTTAGTTTCAATTCTTAAAAGCAAGATATCCCCATGGCCCTCCCGGGTGGCGCAGCGGGTTAAAGCACTGCATTGAGAAGCTAAAGCCACTTCCGCATGAGTTCGATTCCCGCCTGCCCCGGAGGTGACCACATGGCGTGGCAGACCTCTCCTGACCCGCCCGCTGCTCCCCTCAGCAGTGTACTTCGTCGATCTGCCTGTTCTGCTCCCCACTCTGTCTCTGGTGAAGCCTCTCACCGCCCCTGAGCCTCTGGCCTGTACCCCAGTTCTGTATGAATAAATAAATCTTAAAAAAAAAAAAAAAAAAAAGCAAGACATCCTCTCCAATAAAGTAGAAAACAGATATTTCTGGGCAACATTTTATTAATGTTTATCTAGTCCAAAAAAGGAGACCCACTCAGTCTGTAGAAGGGGGTGTCATGGAAGGGAAGTCCCTAGTAAGAAGATGGCAAAATTATAAATAACTAGAAAAACAGTCAACCATCATCTTTATGGCCACGAGAAGAGGTCCTCCAGTGTAAAGAGAGTTAAAGAGTACTGAAATAATCAACATACATTACTGTATATGTTTAAAGTGTACAGAATGGTGGTTCGATTTTCATATACTGGAAATGGCTACTAGTTCAGATAACACTTGTCATCTCAAAAAAAAAAAATTTTTTTTTTCTTTTCTTCTCATGCTGAGAACTTATAGGATCTGCTCCCTAAAACTATGGTCATCACATTGTACATTACACCCCAAGTATTTATTTAAAGCTCAAAGTTGTTACCTTTTGACCACTTTTCTCCAAGTCTTCCTTCTTTTACTTAGTTGCCCCAGTAACCGTTAAGTCTGATCTCTTTCTGAAGTTGCTTTCTTTTTAGATTCCTTATTTAAGGTTAAGTCAGGTGATCCCTGTCTTTTTCTGTCTGACTTACTTCACATAGGATGCCTTTTGGTTCACCCATGTTGTTGCAAATGGGAGGATTTCCTTTCTTAAAAAATACTGGAAAAATGCCCCACTATGTTGTTTAACGACAGGTATACATTCTGAGAAATGCATGTTGGGACTGCTGCCCTGCACAGTCTGGCCCTACCGTCAGTTAGTCTGATTACAAAACACTCAATCTTTTTTTAACAATACTTCAAAAATTTCAATTAAGACTCACACTCTAATTTGACGAATAGGTCCATATTTCCCAAATATATCATACATTTCTTCAGCTGTGATTTTGTATGGCAAGTTTCGAATATACAAAATCCGATTTACTTCAGGTGGAAGGCGAATCTAAAATGAGAAATATATAGTTATTATAAGCAGGAATACAGAAGACCTATTGTTTAAAAATTTCTGAAACAATTCCTTAAAAAAAGGAAAAAAAAAAGAATCAGAATTATGACTCGATGTAATTAAAAATGGCGCACTCTCCAAAAAGCAACCGACTTTAGGGAGCTTATCAGTAGAAACTAGTAGGGGGGATCACTACAAAACCCAGGTTTTTGGTCTCTACCTCTTTTTAAGTCCTTAATGCCTTATACATGTGAGGAAAGAATGTGGGGAACTATTCCTGTTTGCAAGACTATGAAACTCTCAAATCATCCTTGTGATGAGCCTTCTAGGAGCTTTTCAGGAAGTTGTTGGCATCAAGGCTCTCTTCTGTCTTCTATAGCCTCTGCCTCACAATTGGCTTTTCCTGGTCCTCAAGCAAGCAATTGTTTATGTCCTGCCAATCCTTTCACAAAACAAAATAGTTATCTGAATCCCTACTCATTCATTCAACAAATATTTACTGAATGCCTTAAAACAAAACAAAACAAAACAAAAAACAGATATATATGCCAGGCTAGTTATTAGAATTACATAGTGAAGAAAAAAAGACAAGTTTTCTGCTTTCTCTGAACTTATTAGCTCTCTACTTATTATCTTATCTTGCTGTCTGTTTTTTTTTCTTTTCAGCCAGGGATCTGAAAGAGGAAAGCTATATTCACTGCTTCATATTCTTTACATCACCATTACTCACCAACCATTTACAACCTAAGCACACTTTTCTAAGTGCTTTTTCTCAATAAGATCTTTTAGCTACATACTAAACTTCTGACACTTTGCATTACTACCTTCGTACTTATTCTTGACACTATTTCCTTGGCTTCCTCCTAACTCTGGTTAAGGCCAGAGTTAATGGTAAAGATATTCTTTACCATTAAAATAAGTTCTTCCACAGATTTTTGTATTTAACATTCTTTTCTCAATCCTTTGGCCTGTACATTCTTTGGCTTCTCAAATGCACATGCAGTTTCAGCAGTAAGTAGATGCCTCTAGTGTATGTATCTCCCATCCAGATTTTACTCCTGTGCTCTTTACTAACACATTCAATTACATACAGGACATTAATTTGCTCAATAACTGGTTAAGCTGACAGCTATTTCAGGCATTAAGCTAGGTGTTATAAATAAGAACATCAGTAAAATATTTTCCCCTGCTTTCAAACTAGAGATGGCAATAAGCAGTAAACAAATACACTAAAAGGCCTCCGTGAGGGTGCAGGGGTAAAAGACAGCACTATTAAGCTATTGCCAGCCACTGCAGCGATCCCTCAATAGCCCCGGAGCAGACCCACATGTCGCAGACCCACATGTCGCAGACCCACATGTCGCAGCAGCCCTCTCCTGTCTTGCCTGCTGCTCCCCTCAGCTGTATGCTTGTCTGCTCCCCACTCTGTCCCTGGTGAACCCTCTCATCCCCTGCACCTCTGGCCTTTACCCCAGTTCTTGTATGCATAAAAAAAAACCTTTCAAAAAGTACACTAAAGTTTCAGATTTTAAGTTCAAAGAGATGGTAAACACTCTCCAGTGACCGTAATGTTTTTCTCAAGTAAATCTGCTTCCTCGTTCTCCCAGACACTGGATTACACTTCCCTTTCTCTCCTTAAATCTTACCACCACAGTTTCGAACAACTTCCCTGCCCATCCCAAGCTCTTCTTCATTGGAAAAAAACAGGAATGCCCAAATGGTAAGTAGCTTATATTCATGTCACTAAACTCGCCAATCTAAATCCATCCATACCCACCAACTTCTCATTACTACACCAAACATCTCCCGAACCTGATCCATTTCCCCTGACCCCACTGGATGGCTCCACTGGCATCCAAACATACCTTATGCCACACACCTCAAGAAAGAATAAGAGACAAGCATCCCTCACTCCGTCTGCTCCCTATCGCCACGAAAACTTCTTCCATCCTCTCTTCCTCCCACCGCAACCGAGTTTCCATCCACTGAATGGATTATCCCCAAGGCCACCCATCGCACGACCCTCGTTATCTGTCTTCATCATGTCAGCATCCTCCCACCGACCACTCTTTCCTGAGATCCTTTTCCCAGTTTCCATAGCATCCCACTCTAACCTTATCACGTGGGCAAAAGGCTTTCGTTTTGAATAGGATTTGGTACACAGTAAGTTCAGCCAAGTGAACAGATGAGCTTACAGCTCCCACGGTGGTACAAAGAAGGCGTTCGGAGAACTGCTGAATTAAGACGTTCATGAATCCCAGGCTGTAAGTACCAACGAGTGATTTACTGGCGGGTCAGCTGGGGGGTAGCGACCAGGTCGAGAGCGCTGCCAGGACAAGCCACAGGAGGCCAGGATAGGAGGCTGAGGGGCGCTGAAAGGGCGGGGGCAGGGTATCAGGGGCGTCTCCGCGCGGCTGGGGTGCGGGGAACACTCCCTCTGACCCGACAGCGACTTCAGGCCTTCCCCGTGGGCACAGGGGGGCGCAGACGCTCCGACCCACGCCGAGGAGCAAGTGCAGGAGCTTGGTGTCCCCCGCTCCGCCGAAGGCCCCGCTACTCACATTCGCCCTCTTGGCCGCTTGCATCGCCATCTTGGCTGGCTGATGAAGTTACCACCGCAGACTCAGGGCTCCTCAGGGCTCCTCCGGGCGCCTCCGGAGCGCGCTCGAGCTCCCAGCGCTCCCCGTCGCCAGAAGCAGGACGTCAACATCCAGGCTCCGCCGGAAGCAGCCTGAAAGCGCCGGAATAGCACCTTCTTACGTCGGGGCGTGCTGACGTAGCATCCTTTTCCGAAGAGACTCCCGGGCAAAAGCAGCCTGAGGCGAAAGCGAGGCCAGAGACGCTTCCGAGCGCGGGGTCGGAAGAGGCGGGGCTTGAGCTAAAAAGTGGGAGGTGTTCCGGCCGGGAGGGCCTAAGCCGGAAACAGGCCGGCCGGGGCGGGGCCGCGCTCAGGTGAGCTCGGCCGGAAGCGGGGCCTGGTGTGGTACCCCGGGCTGCGAGGAGGCTAGGTGCGACCTCACCTATTGCGGAACTTGAAAGTCCGACTTTGACGAAATCCCCAGCCCTCGCAGAACCCCTAAAATGGAGAATCAGTTTATGGGGACCCTCCTTAGACCCCGCAGCGACACCCGTCCGGATCCCCACCACCACTCCCGCCCAGGGACCCCAGTATATGCCCTGGGGTCACCCAAAGTGAGCAGGCCGGCCTTCTAGTCCACAATGTTTATTTATTTGTACCGATTCTGTTCGGATAAATTGATGGGAGCGGGGGGTG